GTAAAAAAAAAAAGAAACTGGACTGAATAGACATTAAACCTATTTCATGCTCCTGCAGTTTTCTGAAAATTCCAGTTTATATGAAATTGCCTCTTTCCCCTCTAACGCTTCCCTGTTACTATGTGTTGCATAATACTCAGTTTGTGATTTTTCACTGTTGGGATTTAAAAAAAATACAAGAATAAGTAAAAAGTAATGTGAGAAATAACTTGCCAGTGTGGGTTCAAGCATTGTAAATTGCATATGGCAATGAAAACTTTTAATGTTTATCTATTAATTACTGTAAATCAATGAGGTACAAAAGTTGAACAGGGTGAAAATGGCCTTTATTTTTATCTTCACAATGATTAACTTTAGGGAGGAAAAAGCATTTATTAACTAATGGTTACTGAAAAGCCAAACTTTCCCAGCCCATTTCATATTCTCTTTCAACCATTTCAGGGCAGAACAATATTCCAAAATATAAACCTGTTCCTTATTAACATTGACAGTCATGTGCTTAATGAAAAGCTTTGGGTTTGATATACGAGCAGCTGTAATTAACCTGTCCACAGCAGCTTTATAATCATCCTGGCTCCGAGGGTTGTTTTTTTCACATCTACAAAATAAACACAAAGTCAGAAACTCTGTAACAGAAGCTAGGGTAGTTTCTTCAGAAGGTTGTAATTTACTTTTTGAAGCTAATTTATGGCTGTCTATTCACCATATTTTTCTTTTTTTTTTATTTTGTGTGCGTGTACCGTCAAATCAGATCTGACTGGTACAGGAGGATATTGCGCCTCCTTCTCCGGCAGAGCATCTGGTGGAGTCGAACCGTGTTCCTCTGGGATTGCAGTGTAGCTTCTTGCCACTAGGCCACCAGAGCTCCCCATCACCGTATTTTTCTAACCCAATCACTTTCTAACTTTTTTTGTTATGGTCCACAGTAAAACATGAATTTCATACTGTGATCCAGTGTACATCATCATATATCGAAACTTCTAATAAAAGTTTCATAAAACAAGACTTACCTTTATATTGATGTACTCTATTTCTACTTTTATTATTATTTTAAATAATGCTGGTTTGCAATTCCCTAGATTGATCTTACCACACAAAGGGGCCACAGCGGCAGTTTGAAAATCACTGACCTAGAACATAGGTAATGACCTGTATCTTTGTATTTTTAAATGTAGTAACTGCATAATTACTTACACTGAAAAAAAGAATATTACATTTAAGTTTGGAATTATTACTGACCTTTTTTTTTTTTTTTACTTCTTTTTGGCTATTTTAAACTACAAGTAAATAAAATGGAGGTCACATATGGTAACAGAAAGTACCTACTTACACTATGCCTTTACAAAATTTCAGATGTTTCTTCAGTCATGATTTAACAGTACTTCAGTGGTAGAAAATTTTATTTCTGTCAACTTTTCTATCAGTCCCATTTGTGGTTACATTTACTTGCATACAGTTCATACTTCATGGCAGTGTTTCCTCTGGCAAATGGGAAGTGTTTACAGAGATAGGCTAATACATTAGGCACCACTCTGGGCAGACACTGAGAATGAAGGCTCAAGCCAACTGCTAGCTACAAACTAGCTACCTACTTAAAACTTGCGAACACAAAAGGCTGAAAATGAAATAATGGGACTTCCAGCAACACTTCGGCTGATACCTTCCTGTTACCATTTCTTGTTCCCAATAAGCAGCTTGTTGTTAGATGCTATTTAGTCAACTAGGATTCACAGCCACCCTACGAACAACAGATCAGACATGCAGCAACTCTAAAAAAGGAAAAGAAATCTCCAGGTACTGGAAGTGAAAAAAAGACGTCAAGGCCAGAGCTATCAGTGAACACGCTGGTGATGGTGGAAGGACTGAGGCTCTAGGTGTAGGTACGTTTTAAGAAAGAGGGTTGGGAGTGTGATCTAACGGGCACACAGAGAACTGACCAGATTTACCTACGCTAATACAGACAGAAGAACAGCTGTTAAGGTGAAAAGCATGGACAGGGATAATAAAAAAATTTTTTTAAAAGAATTTAAAAATAGTTACTACAATATGCCAAATATGTTGGCCTTAAAATGTATAGACAAAAATGAATTCAGGGGAAACAGACAAATCCACAATCAGTGGGGAAGTTTTAAGTATTCCTCCTGGAAATTAATAGAACCACCTAGTAGGAGAAAATAAAGGTCAACCAATGAACTCTTCTGATAAACTTGTAAACTAAAATATAAAACAAAGCAATATAACAAAGAAGTTGGAAAATAATTCAGATATTAGAAATTATGACATTTTAACCTTAAAGGAAACATCGCATAACAAATTTTGAAGCAGATACACTGTTGTTAATGCAGAGGGAGATGTATATAGTCTTAAGTCTATATTTAAAAGATGCAAAAATGATGGCCAATTAATAGACTTGATGTTTAATTTGCTAAATACTAAGGAAAAAAAATCCCAAAAAAGCTGGAAAGGAGAAAATAAGTAACTGGAAGGTGCAAAGAGTATACTGGCACCTCTGATTTTGCTCTATTAGGGTTGAGTGAAATCAGACATGTCAATATAGGACTTTGAGATTATGAGCCCAATATTAGAGTTATATAAATTGCATCTAGTTAAAACAGAGGGGTTTTTTTTGAAAGCTGTAAATTAAGAATCTTTAATTATAAAATCGTTACACCCTCAGACTATAATTTGGTTTTTAGATGTGATTTACAATTTATTCAAGGTCTCTGAAAGCTGTCAAGCTGGAACTGACTCAGAGCTGTGTCCAGTGGATTTCTGAGGGTTTAAATCACATGGGAGTAGACTGCTCATCTTTCTCTCCAGGAGCAGCTGGCAGATTTGAATCATCTGTCTCTGGGTTGGCAGCGCCAACTCCTTACCTCCAGAGCTACCTGATTCAAGGTAGTGTCTATAATGATAGGGAGAAAAAAACAACAACAGTGGAAGTCTGGGTTTGGAAATAGTTAGCCTAAGTACAAAAGCCTACTCTTTTTTTGGTTGTTGTTATTGTGTGCCATCAAATCAGATCCAACTGGAACAGGAGGAGATTGCCCCTCCTTCTCCAGTGAAGAATCTGGTGAATCCATGTGCCTTCAGGATTGCAGTGCAGCTTCTTATCATTAGGCCACCAGAGCTCCCTTGGAAGCTTACTCCTTTTTCTACCTTGACCAGGAGGCAAAGGGGCAGCAAAATGAAACTGACATTCTCTCCTCAGTCTATGAAGTCTTGTGCCAAGATTAACATTTTCCTCCCAAAGAGTGATAAGAGGATTCAGACCGCTGACCTTTAGGACAGTAGCACAACACTTATTTTTGGTTTGGAAGCCATTTAAATATACAATAGAAAAGTTAAATGACTGTAGCAATCAAATTACAGTATTATAAATAAACACAACCTTATCAAGACTCAAAGAAATTTCACGTTTCCAATAATGTGACTGTGTGAAAGCATTCAGATGTACAAATGCCTAGAAAGGAATACCTTCTCTTTATCATACTACATTGTTGTTATTGTTATGTGTCATCAAGTTGCTTGCAACTCATAGCGACCCTATGTACAACAGCCCTAAACTCTGCTCTGTCCTGTGCCAATCGCACTGTCTCCGATACACCCATCCAGATTACCCCAGTCACTTAATTAATCCACCTCATCTTCCTTTGTATTTCCATACTTGAAAGCTCCACCTCAGTGGCTCTTTCTGTTATTCTACATGTGTTCTGTTGTACATAGGGCTTTCGGAGGCCTGCTATTTCAGAAGTGGATGGCCAATCCTTCTTCCTAGTCTGTCTTAATGTGAATGTTCAGTTTTAGAGAAGTATCAGACAGACCAGCAAGTTAAAGTTATATCCCTTATTGTGGCGTTAACCATTAGTATCAGTGTTCTAGAACTTAATTTTTTTAAAAAAGAATTCTGTTGTAAAGCTAATCTTCTAGATGCCTTCATAAGTAGCTAAGTTGATGGTCTAAAACCTTGAAGATGATACTTTGTAAATGGTGATTTTCACACGTCTACTAATTGTCTCATGTTCTTTTCTTCAACGGTGAAAACTAATTTTCTGCCCCTTAACTGTGGGTGGCACTAAATGCCTCACCTGTAAGATGAAGAGCAAAAAAATTATAATCTGCTGCTAGGAGGACAATTTGCTAGAGGTCTCTTCCTTATTTTTAAATCCAAGCAGGCAATGTCTACTGTTTTGGATTATTATTTCAAGGATGTTTATAGAATTAAAACCTTGAAAAATAGTAGTAAGGATAGGCTTGCCAACAGCCTTAGAAGATTAATGTCCTTATGCACAAAGGGCACCTATTTTCAAAGATCTGGGTGCCCTAAGCCTCAGGTTTCCTCTCCAGTAATAAAGTTCACTACGGGTGCAGGCATCCGTCTGGGTGAGGGGAAGTTATGCAGACATGTCGATAACCATGCTGCAAGTTGCACCATGAATATAATCTTCAGTCTCCATCCTATGAGTCTCATGTTTTATGCTGGTATCCATCAAATTGAGGCAAGCTAATCTGTAATCTAAGGACAAATTCTCAAGCCTTCATTCTTGATTTAGATTAGGAAAGGCATTCCAGTGCCCTCCTCACTTGAATCACTCACTTTTGAAGGTATGTTTTGTGCTGCTGTGGGAATATTGAAGCAACTATGACGTGAGGAGCTGAGCCTTCCTTCCAACAGTCAAATGACTAAGTGATTTTGGAAATAGATTCTGCAGCCGAAGTCACTGGCTGATTGCAGCCCAAATGACTACAGGTGGTGGTTGTGTACCATTGAGTTGGAACCTACTGACAGCTGACCCAGAGGCAGTAACTGCACAGAAGGGGATTGCCCATCCTTCTGTAGAGCAGCTTCTTGTCACTAGGCCACTGAGGAACCTGGTTTATAACACCAGTCAACTGAAGCAAAATCCTTGCTAAGCTCTCAGCAGGAGTAAGTTAGAGTGCTTGAAGTCTTAATTCTGGGGCTTTAGACAAAATTATTTGATGGTTACCACTCTGGTTCAAACCCTACATTATAATGTTTATGTATTTACATTAAAAATACAGAATGTAGGCTGACGGCTTTATTTATTATAATACTATTCTTTATTGAACCTATTAAATACCACTGACAGAACCTAGTAAATTTCCCTTTTAGACTTTGTTCTCATTGGGGTTTTTTTTGGGGGGGGGAAGGGGAGGTGTGACTACAAAGAGAACTACCATTTAGGTACTTAAAATATGGAACTTTCTCTGAAGATGTTAAAACTTTTACTGAATGCTACTTAGCCTGGTGGCCTAATGGTCAGAAGCTGTGCTGCAATCCCAAAGGCATGTGGTTCAATTCAAACTCTCCAGGTACTCCGCGGAAGGACAGGCAATCCCCTCCCAGGTGATTTAGTCTCTGAAGATGCGTTGGAGGGTTAACGGTAAGTCCATTCTTATTTGATGGCACACACCACCACTACTTAGTTATTGGTTTTTAAGACTCAAATAGGCTAACTCCTTTTCTCAACTTCAGTGTTACCAGAGTTTGTAAATGCTTGAACGTGCACGTGCACACACATAGACAGACAATCACATTTCCAAATGCAGTGAGTTTTGTCAACCAACCTTTTCATAACTATTTGCAGTGTCTGTGTAGCAGTTCCAGGACTCTGAATACTACTAGCATTAGATACCAAGAAAATTTCAATAGCTAAGAGCATTTCAACTTCAGATAAGTAAGAAGGAATAAGTAGAAGTTTTCGGTATAAATTTCCTTCCATTGGTGGATAGCAGCCCAAAGAGAGAGCACCTGAAAATAAGAGATTAAAATGTTTACTACAAGTCCAGTATGTAAAAACTCAGATGTCCAAAATACTATGTTAGCAATTACTTGCATTACTGAGTGATTGTTCACATTAGAAGCAGACTCAATACAGATTTTGATAATGAACTAACCTAAGTAGATTTATTGTTATCCTCTGTAATATGGGTTTTGAAATATTTAACGTTTTTAAATTTTTTTAACTTTTTTTAAAAAAAAATTTACTATTTTGTGTGTGTGTAACGCCAAATCAGATCTGACTGGTACAGGAGGAGATTGTTCCTCCTTCTCCAGCAGAGCATCTGGTGGATTTGAACCGTGCACCTCTGGGATTGGAAATATTAACTATTAAGAAAGAAAATAAACCTCTCTGAAATGACTTTTGAACTTTACTATGACAGATGCCCATTTATTTCATGCTGTGGTCAGCACAATAAATAAAAAGCCAGAACAGCTATTTGAGTTTTGATAGATCTTATCTAATAGCAACTGTATGGGATATTATTATTGCTTATTCTGAATTTTGAATCTAGAAAAATGGGTATTATAATGCAAATATTTTACTTTCTATCAGATGATAATATTAAAAAAATATTTTTTAGGGTTTTTTTTCCCCAGTCACACTGTGATCTATACGCTCATTCCCGTACAATGGAAGACAGTATTTCTGAGTACATTTACTTAGTAAATAAATAGTACTTAGTGCAGTTTGTGCAATAAATACTGTGCTAATTACATATCTTACATGGTGCTCCATGTATTATAGCTATAGTCCCCAACTCACGTTCTAAAAAATTAATTTTTCAAGATAAGATATTTAACACTGTTCAGATGCTTATCAGAAGTTGGTATAGAGGAAGATTCTATTTAAAACTCTTGTTGCTGTTAATGCCATCGAGTCAGCAGTAACTCACAGGCACCCTGTGAACAATGGCTCTGAACCCTGCCCTCTTCTGAGCCATCCTCATCATCTCTGCCACATTTGAGCCCATTGCTGTTTGCCAGTCCGTCTCCTTTAGGGTCTTTCCCTCCTTTGCTGACCCTCCACCTTTCCAAAAATCTTATCCTTTTCCAAGGATAAGCCCCTCCTAAAAACATACCCAAAGCATGCTGGACAAAGTTTCACTATTCTAGCCTTCAAGGGGCACTCTGGCTGCATCTTTTCTAAGACAAACTTATTTGTCTTTTTGGCAGTCCATGGGATATTCAGTATTCTTCTCTAACACCACAACTCAAAGTCTTCTGCCATTCTTATTAGAACATTCAGATGCACAGCAAGTGACTCAAAGAGTACACCTTAGTCTTCAAACTGACATCTTTGTTATTCGGCCCTTTGAGGAGGTCACTGACAGCAGTCTTTCCCAATTTGTCATCTGATTTCCTGGCTGCTGTTGCCAACGGTGTCTACTGTGGATCCAAGCAAGAGGAAGTCATTGACAATCTCTCTCTCTTTTCCACCAAACATGATGGAGAGCTTGTTGGCTCTGTGGTAAAGATCTCTGTTTTCTGGATTTTAAGATGTAGCCCATACTGAAGGTTGTCTGAGTCTCTGTAGCACACAGTTCAATTTTCAGCAAGCAATGCTGTGTCATGTGCATAATGGAGGCTGTTAATGTCTTCCTCCGATCCTGATACCACATTCTTCTTCATGTAGTTCAACTTTTTTACTGATTTATTCTGCAGACTGAATATGTATGGACAAAGGATACAGCCCCGACACAAACTTTTCCTGATTTTAAACTCTGCACTATTCCCTTGCTGTTTTTAACATAGCTTCTTGGTTGATCAAGGTGTAAGTTTCACATGAGCACAATTAAGTGTTCTGGGATTCCCATTCTCAATGTCAGCCATAATTTATGATCCACAATCAAAAATGCCTTTGTACAGTCAATAAAACATACAAAGACTGATATTCTTTTTCAGCCAAGATGTACCTAACATCTGCAAGGATCTCCTTTGTGCCACAGCTTCTTCTAAGTCCAGCCTGCATTTCCAGCAGTTCTCTGTACTGTTTTTTAATGATTTTCAGCAAGATTTTACTTGTGTTATTAATGATGTGTTGTGGTTGTTTGTTGAGTCACCTGTGACTCAGAGAGCCTAGAACAGCTCTGAACCCTGCCCTATCCTGTGGCAGTCTCACTGACTCAGACATACCCAATCCTATTACTTTGCAAATCCACTCAATCCAGGTCTCCCTCTCCAGCACTGTCTCGCTACCCTTCCAAGCATGATGTCCTTCTACAAGGATTGGTCCCTCCTGGCCATGTGCCCAAAGTATGTGAGATGAAGCTACAAAATTCTTGCCTCCTAAGTGGAACTTTGTTTCCCTCTCTTCAAGACAGATCTATTTGTTCTTAGTGGTCCGTGGTATTTTCAATACTCTTGTCTAGCACAACTCAAAGGCATCAATTCTTCCTCTGTCATCCTTAGTTATTGTCTAGCTCTCTGATACAAAGCATTTAATGACACTGTTCAGTAATGTCCACATTTTATTGGGTCACCTTTTTTGGGAATGGGAACAAACATGGATCTCTTCCAGTTGGTTGGCCAGGAAGCTGTTTTCATATTTTCCTACCATGGTGAGCATGTCTAGGGCTGCATCTATTTGCTGAAATATGTCAGGTGGTATCCTATCAGTTCCTGGGGCCTTATTTTTTGCATGCCTTTAATGCAGCTGGAACTTCCTCCATCACTATCGGGTTTGGTCATACACTACTTCCTGAAATGGTTCTATGTTCACCAATTTCTTGGGTTCAGTGACTCAATGTATCCCTTCCATTTCCCTTTGATGATTCCTTGGATCATTTAAGATTTTGCCCATGACATCCTTCAGTACTGCAACATAAGGCTTCAATTTGTTTTTCAATTCTCTTGGCTTCAGAAATGGCAAACAAATTCTTCCCTTTTTGTTTTCCAGCTTCTGTTCTTTGCACATTCCTTCAAAATACTTTGCTTTGTCATTTCATGCTGGCCCTTGGAAATTGCTTTTACTTGGGCAATTATTCTCTTTGCTTTGGACTCTCAATATACTAGTGCAATTTTCAGTCTCTTCTGACATCCATTTTGGTCTTTTGTTTCTCACTAGTCTTTGTAATGACCTTTTGTTTTTGTCATGGATACAAATCAAATAAAGGTAGCACTATATTTTATATTTTTACAAAACCTACTTAAAATATGTAATTAAGACAAGTTTCTTCAAATGAGCAGTGAGTGCCACAATGGGCACAATGTGTCAGGAAGTGTTAAGATGACACAGAACAGGACAGGGTTCAGATTTGTCCTTCATAGCGTCAACTCGACAGCACCTAAGAAGAGCTTCAAATGGGGATGTTGATGTCTAATCTTTCAAGATCTGCCATGTGCCATTTATCTAGACAACTCACTTCTGAAATGAGGTACACTTACTCCCATACTGTACCTTGGGTAAACATACAGGCTCTGCCTCCAGGATCCAGATTTTGGATTACAAACCCATCAGGTGATCCCACTTCCCTAAGTCACTAGCAGGAGCAAGATACTGTCAATTCACTGACTTTTTCTAATTTGGTAGATATAATAAATATGCAATATGTTTTACTTTTCTGATCAAAGGAATAGAAGTATTAAAAAATGAGCAGAAATTTACTAAGATTACTTCTGCACTAAAAGCAAACAAGAGGAAAAAAGTTTTATTGATTTAAGGGGGGGGGAAGTAACTGAAAGACACAGCAATAATGTTCCTCCTGACTTTTATCTCTGAGATTAAAGTAGTATTTTTAGAATTAGGGAGAGGAAATCATGAACACCAGGATGGCAACTTTGTTACCCCTGGATAATTTCCTTCTGATGAGTTTGGGAACAAAAACAAAATAAAGTAATCAGATAAGTGAACGATAACTCATAGAATGTATACAAATATTTGCCAATTATTTGACAAGGGACTTGTATCCAGAATATAGAACTCTTGCAACTCAATAAAAACAGCCCAAGGGAAAACAAGGCAAAGCATTTGAGGTGATAGATCTCCAAAAAAAGATGTGTCAGTAGTCATCAAACAGATGGGAAAAATGTTCCCCATTATTAGTTATTAGGGACATATGATCAAAATCACAGTGAGAGATTTCGTTCTCATGACGATTTTTAAAATTTTAAAAAATTTTTTATTTATTTTAATGAAAGTTTACAGAGACTTTGGATTTCCATTTTCATTGTTGCACACTTTCCTCCCTGCCCATCCCTCCCCCCATGACAATGGTTTTAAAAAAAACTTCTCATATGAGAGCAAAAGTGAAATGTCAGTCAGTTGGAACTCTCATATGTGGCTGTTGGGAACAGCAAGTTAAGTGACCTCTTAACTAAAAGGTTGGGAATTTGAAGGTACTGCTTCTCTGCGGGACAATGATGGGTGATCACCTCCCATTTAGACTTGCAGTTGTTATTATTCTTAGGTGCTGTTGAGTCTACTCCAACATAGATCCTATATATGACAACATGATCCTATGTGTGACAGACTGAAACCTTGCTAGTGCCCAACCATCCTCACAATTCCCACTGTTCTTCAGCTCATGAAGATTTACAGGCTCAGAAACCCGAGGGAGGGTTGCCATGAGCTAGCAGTGGATTTATAGGTGGTTGGTTAGGTGGATTATGTAAAATGGAAAGCAGCCTGGCAGTTCCTCAGAAGGTTAAACATCAATTTACCATGTGATCCAGAAATTTCATCCCTGGATATATGCCCCAAAGCAGAAAGACCCTATTGTTGTTCTTATGAGTCGTCAAGTTGCTTGCACAACAGCTCTGAACTCTGCTCTATCCTGAGCCAACCTTATTGTCTCTGACACACTTAACCCCATTACCCCAGTCACTGAGTCAAACCATCTCATCGAGGGTCTTCCTCTCCTGCAGTGTCCCTCCACCAGCCCAAGCATGATGTCCCCCTCCAAGGACTGGTCCCTCCTTGCAACATGCCCAAAGTATGTCAGGTGGAGCTTCAGAATTCTTGCCTCCAAGGAGCAGGCTGGTTTCATCCTCTTCAGGATGAACCAATTTGTTATGGCCCCACAAAAACTTGTAAGTGAGGGAGCTCTGGTGGCCTAGTGGCAAGAAGCTGCACTGCAAACACAGAAACACATGGTTCGAATCCACCAGATGCTCGGATGGGGAAGGAGGGACAATGTCCTCCTGTACTAGTCAGATCCAATTTGATGGTACACACATACAAAATTAAAAAAAACCAAAACAACCCCCCCCCCTTATTCGTGCTAAACAAAAAAGCAGAGTTAACCCAAATGTCCATCAACTGATAAATGGATAAAAACTACACTGCATGATTCCACTTATGTTAAATATCTACCATGGGCATATCTACAGAAGCAGAAAGTAGACCAGTAGTAGCCTGGGTCTCAGACAGGGAAGAAGTACATCAAGGGTATGGTGGATGACTGCTAATGCACATAACAGGCTTTCTTTTAGGAAAAGTATAAGATGTTCTTAAATTAGATTATGCCCATGGCTGTACAACTCTGAATAAGCTAAAAATCACTGATTATCCTTTAAGTGAGTTAATTTTATGATATGTGAACTACATAACTCTATAATGCTATAAATAAATGATATGAGTACATGGCCTTAATAATATTGTGGTAAAAAAATTAACCTTAAGCTCCAAATCAAGTACTACTAGATGTGTGATTTTTAAGGTAATGAAAGGCTTTCATTTCTTGCAAGTATTAATCAATGTCTCTGGACTGATCCAAAAGAAGATTCAGTGAAATATGAAATGTCAACAACTGTAAGGAAATGAGATGTCTTAGAGACTGATGAGGGGCTATATTCATTTGGTTTTATAGTTTATATTTATTTGAAATACATAAAAGACTTTACTCAATAACCTCATATGCTTAAGTTCCAGATGTTTCACTGCAAAGGAAAAAAAAAGGCATATGTGTGAAAAGAAAAAAAGCAAAGTGCTAATGAGGAAGTTATTGAGTTGTAGTAAGTATTAACTGCTTTAACAAACTGCTAAAATAAAACTCTTAAAAAGGTACTATCATCAGGGCTAGAGGGATCTGAGGATCTGAGGCGTGACTGCTAATGGGTATAGTTTATTCTGGGAGTGATGAAATGTTCTAAAATTGATGTGGTGTAAGTTGCACAGCTCTGTAAATATTTTAAAATCACTGAATTGTGAGAACTGTATTTTATATAAATAATTTCAAGTAAGCTGTTAATAAAATTTTAAAAGATTTACATTTAGTTATTTTAATATGGAATTTTATTTCTAGCAAAAAAAAATGGAATCATATGAATCTTAATGGGTTTTTTTTGTGCATACTGCATACAAACACCTTTTTATCTGGCATTTTCTCCAAACTGTAAAACTAGTTATTTGAAAAAGAAACAATTAAATGGAATTGACTCTAACAATTAAAAGCAAGAGTTGAAACATTCTTCTACAGTTCTGATCATCCTTAAAAAGAAAAACTGTTCTTGTGCAGTTGCTTTCAAAACTTCTTTTTTTACTGTAACCTAAAATAAGTGGTTTCCTTAAGGTAGTAATAATTATGAAACCTTTTATGAGATGATAAATAAAATTCCTTTCACTGCTAAACTTAGGAAATCTCAGTTGGTAGTAAGAAAAACACTGCTGGATTCTTAGTTCAGGGGAGTTTTAGTCTGTGTGGCTTAGGGTGGCCAGGAGGTCTGACACATCTGGCACGACAGTCAAACAGAGTAAGAACTCTACTTTATGTTTTATGCATGACAACAGGAGGAAAGGAAGTTGAAGACAAATTACTGAATAAAGGCTGAAAGAATCCTTTTCTAGATTCTACATGGAAGTACTTTCTAATTGAAATACCTGCAAAGTGGCTGGGACCAGAGGAAGCATAAGTTTTACAGGTTTATTGTTCTGAAAGAAATAGCTATAAATGAACTACCAAAGCTCTTTTATGAGTTATTGTAAGAAAAATTGTTATATACCACGTTGCACAGTAATGACAGATATTGTACTCTTTTATGAGTCCTGCTATAAAAAATGAAAAGTTATAAGATTAGATACATGGCAAGGAGAAGTAAAATAAGTAGATAATCTTTAAATTTTATTTTACAAAACTCTTTCATCTTTTATTTTTCTAAGATATGCAAATTCAAATTTTTTTGCTGTGCATCTGAGAGTGGACAATGACTAAAGATGACAGAAGAAGAATTGATGCCTTTGAGTTGTGGTGCTAGTGAAGAGTACTGAAGAAAACAATCAGAGTAGTGAAGAAAACAATCAGGTCTTTCCTAGAGAGGGTAAAACCAAGCTGCTCTTCGGAGGCAAAGATTCTGCAGCTTTTTCTCACATACTTTGGGAATGTAGCCAGGAAGGACCAGTTCCTGTAGAAGGACATCATGCTTGGAAAGGTGGAGGGACAGTGAAGGAGAGGGAGACCCTGGATAAGATGGACTGACGTAATAATGGGGATAGTTATGTTGGAAACAGTGAGATTGGATCAAGACAGGGCTGGGTTCAGAGCTGTTGTGTACAGTGTCGCCATGAGTCATAGTTGACTCATATAACAACAAAGTGTAGTCGATGGCACATAACAACAATGCAAAAAACTGGTGGATTTCTGTCATTTACTTTTCACGCTCACCCTCTAGTGGACATGCTCTGCTACAAAGAAATAAAAATGCAGTTACTAGACACAGGACAGAAATACACTTATTTCAAAGGAAAGCCCCGATCTGTTTAGATCAGTATGTTTTAATTTAAATTTAGTGTGTTCTTAAAAATGTATTAAATGCTTGATTTGAAAAGTTAGAGATGGATACAGGATTAAGTAGAAAAGCAAATGAAAACAGTATATAAAATTTTCAAATGTAACTTACTTTTGTAGTGAGCTCTGGCTTTGAGCCATAAAGAACTCCTTCCTAAAGTAGTGATTAATCTTCTAAGAAAGGAAAAATCAATAGGGATGCTCTTTGAAATCATGAATTCTGCTACAGAGGATGATAGGCCAAGACTGTTGCTTTTGATACATGCATCTAGAAGCTTATTGAAAAGAAGGCTATACTGTGAGACATCCACAGTTTCTGCAATGAAAAAAAGAGAATGGATATAACCAAACTGATCTAGGTTAGTCTCTCTCTTCAACTGTCTTCTTATAATACGATAATCTTACATGTTCTCTAAGTAATAAAGAAACAAACAAGCAAAAAAAGGTTTGACAAAAGCAATACAGTTGATTTACCTTGTAATGGAGTACATGAAAGGAAGCCTGAAAAAGAATCAGAGGCTGCATCAGTCTCTGACTTTGGCCCACACCTGTGACTGTGCAGTTGCAATGTCCCACAGCAATGAATTCAAGCTTCTTTTTGTATTACATCTGCATTTTAGATTTCGGCTTTCTATTCCACAAGACTAAAAAGAAATCATCCCTTAACAAGTACAGTTTTAAAACAAATGTTCGATTTTTTGGTAGATGAATAAACGTTATTTTTATTTTCAGGAAGTGAAAGGGAGTCAGAGGTTAGTGCCTTGAAAAACGCATTTCAAAGAAAAGAAGATTTGTGGAAGGTTAAGGGTGTCAGGAGGGGCTCATGTTTACTTAGCACTTTCAGGAGGGAAAAGAGGCATTATCTTAGCAAAGGATGTATTCTACAAACCAGGAGGCTTGAACAGCTGCTCCTCAAGATTAAAACAATATTTTAAATTCGTATTTCTAGTCATCAAGTCATTCCGTAGGAAAATGAAGTCATTTTGGAACCATCCAATCTTTTCTTTCCTTTATTCAGTCCATTTGCTGTAGGGCCCAGATCCTAAGGTTTTTACTGCTTTAGGAACAAGGATGTTAGTGGTCAAGCCTAAATGAAGAAATTAATCTCCTTACCTTCAATCTCTTCTTAAAAATTACCACTAGAGGAACTTTTCTTAAAACATAAACTTCATTACATCACTCATAAACTCCAACTTCTCCTGACCCTTTGCTTCATACACCGAGGACAAAACCTAACCTTCATGGTCTTCCCTCCCCGAAAACACTTCTATCAAACCAAAACAAACAAAAACAATACAAACACTTTATGACCTTCCAAAAAAAGCCCCAAATACAACTTTATTTTTTTTTTAAATTTTTTTTTTCAAATACAACTTTATGGTCTTCCAAAAACTGGGCACAACTATTTGGCTATTCTCATGATTACCATTATGTTTCACTATCATTTGAATTGTAAATTACCAAAAACATCCAGCACCCATTCAGACTCCTTGCCTGTGAACTGATTCAGACTCACCCTCCACCGGGTATCGGGGAATGGTGAATCTGAAGCTTGGGGTAATTGCAGCCTTTGGGTTAGCAGCACAACCTGCAATAGACTATACACCACTGGAGTTCCCTAATTCTATCTAAAGGACGTACTCTGTAAGAGCCAGTGTGCTGGGGATACCAAGATAAAGAAAATACCACTACCTTTAAGGATCTCATCTGAGAGAGAGAGACAAATACAATAAAGGGTCTAATTTTAAGAAATGACTGATTGTACAGGATACAAGAAAAGTCATTTGAAGGGTGACCTTCAAGCAAACAATTTCATCCTTCTCTGAACCCATCAAGTACATTACTGACCCAAAGCTTTTTACTCATGTATCTCTTAACCTGTGTTCTCTTTTCTGATCCATAGGTGACTTGAGCTTTATGAGCTAAGAACATTACTACCATTGCTGAAACTGGTATTCTTTTCCTTGGAGCTTGTTATCTGCTTAATTTCCTCCATGATTACCTACATCCCAAGATAATATAGTAAGATCTGTCTTTAAGACACAAGAGAAGAAACATTCTTTAGTATCAATGAAGACATGAAGTTGGAGTGAGAAGGACATTTAAGGATATAGTTTGCTGATGATCTGATGGGTGGGGAAAAGGGACAATGTTAGTGTTAGAAACTTATGACATACAAATCAAAAAAGTTATCCACCAGATGCTCTGCCGGGGAAGGAGGGACAATCTCCTCCTGTACCAGTCAGATCTGATTTGACGGTACACGGACACAAAAATAATACAATAAAAAAAACAAAAAAACCTCAAAGTTTTTCTGGATTTATTTTTAAAACTATCAAGATTGCATATTCAGTGCTCGCTTCGGCAGCACATATATTAAGATAGCATATTCAATTCAGAGAGGACACATTTGACAGAAAACCACTATAGTATAAAGATACCGAAGTGTAACAAGTAGCTTTAAAGCAGGTGGAAAACGTTCTTATTAACAATTAAAACACCAAATGGCAAAAGATAATTAAGCTAAAGTTGTAAAAAACATACCTTGAGAATTCTGAAAACCTGGTAGGTTTTGTAAAACTTCAAATGTCTGCCTGTACAGATTCTTGGCCAAGATCTCACATGCAAGTGTACAGAGCAGACTATGTCGTTTGAGCACATCCAGTCTGTCGCAAGGCCACAGTGGGGTACTGATGATCCATTCGGACTCTTTCACAAAGAAAAAAGTATAAACACTTCACACTGTGAAAGCCACAGTGAACAAAATCACTGCCCAGTAATCAGGATTCAAGGTTACTAAATATCATTTTTCCACAATAAAACCCACTTTTGAATTGATTGCTTTTGAGCTGATTCCAACTTATCATGAGGCTCCACTTGAGTTACTGAGGCCGTGAATCCTTATGGGAGGGGACTGCTCATTTTCCTCCCACACTGAAGCTGGCTGGTTTGAACTGCTAACCTCTTTAGTGAGCTGAGCTGCTAACCTTCCTCCTGAGCAACTGCTGGTAAATTAAAACAGCAAGGGACTACCTTTGAATTAGAAGTGCAACACCTTATGGACTACACCCTCAGAGGGGACAAGAGGTGGATTTGGAGAAATAAGAAAATTAGGTTTCCACCTTACAGAACAATTTAAAACTTAAAATAAATCAGGGCACTCTCCTATCACTGATGGTCCCTAAAATAAGTAGTGTATTATGTATGTACATATATCTCTATGTACTTGTGTGTTATGTGTACACACACACACACACACACACACACACACATATATTCTCCCCCCTCCCCCTCTTCTCTTCTTTCCTTCCTCCGTCCCTCTCTCCCCTGGTCAGACAGTCCATAGGATACTATGCTGCTAACGAAAAGGCTGTGGTGGTTTGAATCCAACAGCTTCTCTTTGGGAGAAAGATGGAAAGATGAGCGGTCAACTCTTCAAGATTTCAACCTCTGCATAGCTCCCTTACCGCAAAACCTACTACACAGTAGTAGTAAACAAAACAGCATGGTATTAGCATGACAACAGGCACATAGACCAATGGAGCAGACTGAGATCCTGGAAATAGACTCATCTATCTTTAGTCAACTGATATTCAACTAGGAAATAAAACCCATCAAATGGGGAAATTCCATCCTTTTCAAGAAATGGTGTTGGCAAAACTGGACTGCTATCTGCAGAAAGCTGAAACAGGATCCACATCTCACTCTATACACAAAAATCAACTCAATGTGGATCAGAGACCTGGGAATAAAGCCCCAAACCATATAGTTCATCAGAGATTAACTGGGATCAAGCTTAGATGGCCTAGTCTATGGTATAAAGAGACTGCCAAATACAAGCAGAAATGCACAATGTGGAGAGGATAAAATTGATGAATGAGATCCCCTAAGGATTAAATCCCGGTGCACATCAAACCATTTTCCAACAGAGTGGAAAAAACCCCCCTTATGATTGGGGGAAAAAAATATGGCAATACCATTTCAGACAAGGATCTCCTATCAAAAGTTCACAAAATCTTACCAGGCTTCCACAAGAAAGAATGATAACACAACTTGAAAAATGGACAAAAGACATGTAAAGAATTTTCAAAGAGAAAGATAGATGGATGGCCAACAGACACATGAAGAAATGCTCAAAATCACTGGCAATAAGAGAGATGTAAATCAAAACCACAATGAGATACCATCTTACACCAATGGCAATGGCAAAGTTTAACAGGACAGCAAGTAATAAATGTTGGGAGAGGATGTGGAAAGATGGAACTCTTATATACTGCTGTTGGGATTTTAAAATGATGCAACTACTCTGGAGGGCAGTTTGGCATTTTCTCAAAAAGCTGAACATAGAAATTCCATTGTGACCCAGCTATTCCACTGCTTGGAATATACCATGAGAGAATGAGAACTGAGGTACAAAGGGAGATTTATAAACCAATGTTCACAGCAGCCTTATTCACCAGCACAAGAACATGAAAATAGCCCAAATGTCCAACCACAATCAAATGGATTGAGAAATTGGAGCACCAAGTGAGCCAAGCTCAGGATAGATGGAATCTGAGTGAGAAATATTAATACTTAGTTTGGGAGCCTCGGTGGGGAGCAGTGTGCCTAGTGGGGAGCAGCAAGTTGTGGTGGGACCCGCCCACCAGGAAGAACTAGTAGGACAGCGGGAATTTGAGTGAGGTACTTGGGGGGGAGAATCACTGCTGATTGCTGGACCAATTATGGGTCCCCTTCAACCTTAAGCAGGAGGGGGTGAGACAGCTGGAGCTTGAGTGGTATGGCAGACTCAGTTCTCGAGGGGAAAACTAAGGCTTCTTGGTTTTTCCATTCAGGTCCCCCATGCCCCACGTGGGTCTGCATGAATGTCCTCCCTCCCAGCCCTTGCGTGCCATCTGTGAGTGCACCCACCTTATGTGCATTCGTGTGTGTGCACCTGCCCAACTTTCTTCTGGAGCAGTGACATCAGATCAAGA